GAACCAGCCTAGTTGCGGTGTCAAATTAGGATTTTGTCTTCAATTAGACGCAGACATGTGTTGGGGTAAGCTTACGTAGAACCAAGCTCGTAGCATCCAAGCCCGGTGCTGCTCGATCTGAAGTCGCTTGATGTTGACGAATGCCAGCGTGAGCGCAGTGACGAACGCAATCGCCATAACACCAACACCAGCTTGGGTGTCCAACGTGCCTCCAAAGGCATTCCTCGCAATCATCAAGGCGCCAGCAATCCCAACAAGTCCGAGAAGAATGACGACATAGCCGTTGATACGATGGAAGAGAAGGACTTTATGACGAAGTACAGGCACGAATTGGAAACATGCCAAAAAGCTGGCGGGCAAGATTCCAGCCAGGTGGATGATGAGACCGGCTTTTTCATGGCCTTTCTGGTAGTTGAAACATTCTCCTGGCGCCGCTCCACTGCAGAAGGTGTCGAAGTTGAGGTACTGAAATCGTGCGAGGGTAAACCCCATGAGTGCACCGAAGAAGATGAAGAAAAGGACGAAGTTATAGCCCTTGGAGAATCCTAGGGGGTTATAGACCTTTCGCGTTGCGGCGACGAAGCCATTGGCTGGCGGGCGAGTTGGCTGAACCATGGTGACTTGAATAATGTGATCTCGGACGTTGATATGGCTGGTGTCGAGAAGATGTTGCGAAGTCGCACGATCTTTCAATTGGGTTGAATTATGAATAGGTGTCTGGTATTTGAAAATTGTATTAATGAGTATTCTTATCCTCTCCCATTCTCGTTCATTGCCAGCAGAGGTTTCCATCTCTTATAACTTGTAATTTGCACATTCCGTTGTCCTCTCATCGCGATCTCATTCTGATGGAGACAACTGCTAACGCACTCTTGGAGTCGACATGACCAGGATCGACACGCACTTCTCTGCAAGGTCTGAGAGGCGCATGGACGATTTGGGAAAGAGAATGCGCGACTGCCTAGCACACGGGGGCTGCCGTGTCTCGTTAATTCAAAGTTTGAAGTTGAATTCAACCGCCAAAACGCCATCTTGGCGTCGAAAGTTGAGCCTAGCTCTGACCGCCAGGGAGATCTCTCGATCTCGCCCAACATCCTACAGACTCACAGTCCACAGCGCGCACAATGGTTCCCAAACGGGGTTAGTTCCGTTCTGCTTTCACAGCCGTTTGAGTGGATTCACGTAAGCATGCGGGCGTTGAATACGACTGGGCTTAGCCCAATCCTTCGCCCCAAATGTTTAAGCAGCGGCGCATCCTTCCCCCGTGTCTTGGAAGAGAATGTAGTCGTCATTGAGACTGGAGGTGAATGCTGGTTTGATTATTCCGCGAGCTTCGTCATTCGCTCTAGCCTCTCACTACCTAATCTCTCAGTTGCTCAGCCATGGGAAGTCTGACGCATCCCATACCCAAGATCTTGGCGTCTGTCCGCGCGCACCGTAGGGCGAAGGCTACATACAATCTTACCGATTGCTCGCGCCGCGCACTCGGTACTTTTTCGATTGAACTCCTGGCCCGAGAAGGACTTTAAGATTCCTCCGTAGTCATAAACGGGCCACATCCCGCGCCGTCACCATGCCTTTTTGAGAAGCATCTCGCGCCGCGAACCCACATCACCCTCCCCGACACCATTGATACTTTCCTCGACATGGTCGGTGTTCCCGGACGCTCCAAAGGTTGCAACACGTGTAGGAAGCGTAAGAAAGGCGTAAGTCTGCCAAGATGGGATGATCAATTCGTCTGTTATAACACGACGCGTCCCGCTGCTGACAGAACTGCTACCAGTGCGACCTACAACGACCTTCATGCGGGCAGTGCATAAAGGCAGGCTTAGAATGTGCAGGCTACGAAAGGAAACGCATCTTCGTCCATGTGACCAAGCCGCCGACGGGCAAAGACTTCAAGGTGACGGCTTTAGTGCCAGTCACACCCGCCCTTGTTCAGACGCGCTCATTATCCCAGTCTGCCTTTGAGGAGCGGATCCTCGAGCTCTTCTGGGATGGCTATATGCCTGATGCTCCGATATGCAGTCCCAGGAGTCCCATCATGAGGTATTCCAACGCAGACTGGGCGACAACCGTGCGAGATCTCTACCGCACCGACGCCGCCTTGCGTCTGAGCTTACTGGCGCTCAGCTTGGGCACCATAGGTCGTCGCGACAAGCAGCAGTGGATGATAGACGATGGTCTCAAGTTTTATTGCAATGCCTTGACTGAGATGAATGTTGCCTTACGGCATCCCAAAAGATGGAAGTCAGATGCCTTGATGGTGACTTCAAGAATCCTGGGCTTCTATGAGGTGAGCAAGTAGTCTTCGCCCGAGAACAACATTGAAGCTCACTAACTCCCCCCCAAAAGTTGCTCTATGGGGCAGACGACCGAGAGCGACATGGTATCTCTCAAGCTGAAAGTTGGGAGGGGCATTCTTTAGGCGAACTAGCCCTCATCATGCAGCGGACTCCAGAGGCACATATCGACGGCCATGGCCACGACCTGTACGCTTCTGGTCGACTTCATCTGGTCAGTTGAAACCTGCCCTTCCACATGAATCAAGTCCTCTCTACTTAAGTCATGCTGATAGTAAAATGCAGGTCATATCTCACGTCAAGCGCAGACGACGGTTTCCGTTAAGCCACCCGGCCTGGAAGACGGTTCCGTGGCAGAATGTCCCTAAGACCCCAAAGGATATCTTGATCGACGTATTCGTTGATATCCCTGCGCTTCTGGAAGACCTGGACCACATGAATAGCTGCAAAGACCTAGAGGAGAAAGAATTAAGGCGCCTTACTCTGATCAAAGAGTGTTGGCGAGTGGACGAAGAGCTCAATTGGTGGCTCGATAATTTGAGCCCCAACAAAGAACTTGAAGAACTCGCGACTCGTGGCTCAAATAGTCCGACAGCCTGCGACGTCGCTGTTGCATCGATCATTACGTTATACTGGACTATTTGTATTCTCACCTACAGCACTCTTCGCCTTGCAATCGGCACAAAGTCACCGGAGTTGCCCGAACGAATGGACCCCCGCCTCTATTGCACCAAGATAGCCAACATTGTCGACGTCTTCTTCCATCCATCTGCGGGAACTTTTGGAATACAATCAGCGCCGTTGCCAATCGGCATGGCTCTGGTGTACCTTAACTCGTACGAAGAAGGGTTCAACTCAGAAACCAAGTTCAAGCTTGTAAGCTTTTTTGGACGGACCGCAAACAACGGCATCAGTATTGGGAAGTTCTTGATGAGCACCCAGAGAGATGGGCTCAAGCCCAAGACCAGCGTCGAACTGTCACCCGAAGGTATCAAGGCAAAAGCAAAAAGCTGGTTGGGCGTTGTACCCCGAGAAGGCCCAGTCTGCGAGCCATTGCGATCTGCTTCAAGCCAGGCACTAGCCTGTCAGTGAAGCTCCCTGTGGTTTCGAGGCAGATCTAGCGATGCAAGAGAAACACAAATCTTCCTCTGCGGGGATAGTTATGACAAGAATGAATATTTTTACGCAATCCTTGACTAGCTCACCGAGACGAGGGCTTCGTGACTCCACACATCAACCACCTGGCTCCATAATGCGCAAAATTCTCCCCTACACCCATCGAATTGGCACAACATCGCCATCAACCTCATCAGCCCTGGTGGTCTAGCGGTATGATTCTTCCTTAGGGTTATTGAGCGCTCAAACACCATCTTGGAAGAGGCCCCAGGTTCGAATCCTGGCCAGGGCCGTGATACCTTTTGTCTCCTCCAGGAGGATATCCTTGTCTATATAGTGAATGTCCCAACTTCGCTTTTTTGTGTTGTTTCTGGCCACCTCGTTCTTACACTGATGTACCTCAACTTGTTTCTCTGAGGCGCAGCCGAGGGGCTCTGGATAGCTAGCTACATGTAGTTGCTCGAAGTAAGGAAGCTGGATGTTATGGATGGAAGAGTATGGAAACACGCAATCACCAGCATGATGGACTATGCCCATTTCTTCTTTTCCAGCAGTTAAAAAGGCTTAGTTATGTATTTGAAGGCTTGGTGAGAGTAGGTCATTTAATGGCTCTTAAACCACGACTCTTGTATTACGCCTTGCTGATCTAGGGCTCAATCCCTCGTCCGGACTTCGGTGGGCAACCCAGTGAATCCTAGGTTCCATATCAGGCCACGTGAAAGTGATACCTTATTCCCTCATGGGCTGCTACTGCCACTCAAGAAGCCCGACCAGGTACCCAATTGAGCCGGTTTCCGATTTCACCTTACCCAAAACTCGTCAGTAAGGCACAAACAACCAGTCACGCCTATGCCATATTGGTCGGCTTGCATTATATATCGAAGTCGGGCAATTATGGAAGCTCCCGTGCATTATTTCTCCTATTGGCTATAAGAGAACTTGGAAGCATGACGAACACGACTTTAAGTTGTGCTGGGGGAGGCAATCCCCTAGGTGAGGCACAGCCGTTGGACTGGCCCGATCCGGTTCCGGATCCGACGTTGTCCTGCAGGTGAACGACGAACTAGACTGCATTGAGGTATCGTAACCCCACCATAGCTGTTGTTGCCAAGATGATGGGCAAAGCCGGGCTAAACTGAACCTCCGCAAATATGCAGTCACTCAACATCGTCAGGTTTCGCTTCTTTGTAGGCTCCTAGCGATTGGTGTGCTCGGGTTCGGGCAAAGGCTGTGCAGAGCTCGGCGGTATAGTTCGTGAAGATGAATCCTCAACACCACATTGCTTAGATTGAACTCTCGATGAGTTGGGTTTCCTTCGATTCCCCGACATCGTCAGGACGTCATGACTTTCTAAACGAGAGACTGGATACAGAAGACATTACAACTAAGCAGAGACCTGTGCGGCGCAGACTCAAGTCAAATCGTGATATAAGACAAGATGCTACGAACTGCTGGGCTAGAATGAATGCAAATCAACAGCCACAACACATTGACTGAACACCATCGCATCACGAGCTTCAACCTTGAACCATCACGCTTCTCAGTATCCACTGCTTCTTCACATTTGCGAATAACTTCACCATGCGCCTTTCAATCCTTTCCGCTTTCCTCATGGCTGGTGTCTCAATGGCCCAGGGAGACATCGCTGCGCTCCTCGCCTCTCAGCCCGATCTCAGCACGCTGCTGGAACTCGTCAGTCTCGTACCCGGACTTGCAGATACTCTCGCCTCATCCTCCAACATCACAATCGTGGCTCCCACGAACCAAGCGTTTGCCAACGTGCCCCGCGATGTCCCTGAAGGCGAAGCCATCGAGTACCGCAACAACACCATTGCCATCGGGGCACTCCTTGCAAACCACGTATTCAAAGGGGTGTATCCGTCCAACGTGATCACCGATGTTCCAACCTTCGCCCAGACCTTGCTCGATATCTCATACATCGACTACAGACAGCCTTTCTCCAACTTCACTGGCGGTGCGTACAACGGACTTGTGAAGAATGGAGAGGATGTTTGTATCTTGTCTGGAGAGCAGACCATTTCTACTGTCACTCAGGCTGTTCGTACTCATCTGATGCCAAAGTTCGAGTGACCAGTGTACTAACATAAATGACAGGACATCAAACTTGGAGAGGGTATCACGATCCACAAAATCGACACTGTCCTCTCATTCGGCGCTCCCTTCCAGCTCTTCACCTTCCGAGCGGGCTACCTCGCCATGAACGCGGCGTTGGAAGCCGCGCACCTGAACTTCGCATTCGGTGAGACTGGAGCCGACGAGCAGGGCCTGAACATCTCTGACTACACCATCTTTGTGCCTACCGACGAGGCCTTCAAGTCAATTGGCTCTGTGCTTGAGACCGCTAGCCTTGAGACGCTTCAGGAGGTTCTTCGCTACCACATCATTCCCAACAATGTCATCTTCTCGCCGTCCCTGGGCAATGTCACCGTTACATCTCTTCAAGGAACCAACCTCACTTTCACGGTTTTGCCCGATGGTTCAGCCTGGGTCAACAACGCAAGAATCACCTTCCCCAACACAATTCTGTTCAACGGTGTCGCCCACGTCATTGATAGGTCAGTCGAATACCATCAGCATAGCAAGTGAATATAAAGCTAACTTCCTGCTAGTGTTTTGAGCCCTGGAAACTTCGACAGGTCTTCCCTGAAGCCGGCATCGCCGGCATCTGAGCGAGTTGCCTTCTCCGGCGCATCCTCAGTTTCAAGCCTGCCCTTCACGAGTGTCTCCTTCGCGACGGACATGATGGCCTTCACAGCGACACCCAGTCTGCTTAAGACAGTTGCTGCCGTCGCTACCGCTACCGCTACTGGTGCTGCCAGTGCCAGTGCCACCGCCACGACTTCTGGCAGGCCCACTACGGTGCCAACCAACGGCGGTAGCAACTTGTTCCCCGGCATGATCTTGGCCCTTTCTGTCGCTATCGGATTTGCCGCATTCCTCATTTAAACCTCTCTGGATTTAATCAAACCGGCATGGAAAGGCTGGAAGAGGGAGGAGGCTTCGTGAAGGAAGCAAATCCATAGTTCCTAACTCAGCGCTTATCGAATGATTCCAAGGTAAACAGATATCGCGAGGATTCTACGCTCCCATAGATAATTGACTTTGCTACATACTTATTTACATGTTCATTGAGTGCCTTTCAAGCCAAATGAGTCAATGGGCTATCATTTCCGCAATATGAATGGGCGGGCGGCGGCAATCCCAGCACTTGGACCTGCAAAAATCCCTCAACACGTAGCTGATCAAAGTAATCGTTCATGTAGTCAGATGTTGATGTAAAAGACACAATAGCAACCAAAAATCAGGTTGAGAAGATCATAGATAGGGATATGTGTCGCTATACCAACAGACTTTGAGTGACTCCTAGGTCACGAGACGCTTTTTAAGCAAGTATGTTACAGACAAATATTGAGTAGTAAAGCAATTTATGGTTAATTTATTATGACTCCCGTATATTCTGGGTATCATCACACAACAGTAAGTTCCAAGATCGTCGCGTTTGGCAGACTTAGTTCACCTAGGCGTTAAGTACACCGTCAGCCAGACAGGGCCTGATCTTTGCTTGAACCAATGGTCCATTTCAGCATATGAGTGCTTGAAAGTTTTGCTAGAGAGAAAATCAACATTCACTAGTATGGCAACGTTTAAATAAAGACCCATCTCCAATTATGTAGTATTCACCAAAACCTCGGCAAGCCTACAGTACATGAGCACATGCACGTTGATTAGACGGGGGAAGGCTCCGTGCATGCTCAGTACACCCCCATTCAGTCTCTCGCAGGAAGCCCGCAGCTAGATCGTAGCAAGCACCAGACGAGACGCGGGCAGCGGCAACGTGCCACGGGGTTCCACGATGGGCTGATGGTTTGATTACGGTGGTTCGGTAACCACAACATGCGATTTATCCTCCACCGCGGGCCGTTGTGGTCCGTGATTCCGTGTGGAAGGAGACTTGCGAAGACCAAGACCCGGCGCTAGCACCGCTGTATGAGAGTCACTTTTCCCGGCATCGTCGCGCCTAGCTGTGACGGTACTCTGAACAGAACTTGGCGCAGGAAATCCCAACTGGTGTACACCTTATGGTTGTAGGGCACTGATTTTGTGAATTTCAATGTTTTTATTCTTTTTCACAAAAGTATTTTGGGTTGTTTTACTGAGCAGAGACACATGCCCTTGTGCACAGAGGCGGGAGGAAGGAAATGGTAGCCTCTACTCCGAATATTCCGTCTCCGGAGCCCGCCGTCTCTTGTACACCAACGCCAGCTGACAAAACTATTGATACAATCAAAACATGGGTATGGGGGGTATTGGTCATTGAAAACATGTGAAAAAGTCCAGACGCCAGAAAAGCCAGCCCGTTCGTTGTCGCCACCTTTCCATCAAGGGAGTAGAGTCACACGGGGTGGCCGTGTAGGTCGTTTGCTGATGTAGCGCCGAAAAATTTTCGTCGGAGCCTCAAGGCTGCGAGGTTGGGGTAAAAAAGCTTGAGGTGCCTGGTGGATGAAAGCTCGGAATTCATCGGCTTGGGTGGTAGTGGTGGGGGCCATTTGCCAGCCTGGTTGATGTGGGTGCGCGTGGTGTAAGTTTTCCCTTTTTCGCTTTGGGCCTCGGAGTCTCTCTCGGTGGAATGTAGGCACCGTCGTGCTGGAAGACTTTTCGTTTCATCCTTTCGACGTTGATACTACATCTCGAGTGTTGATCATTTAGAGGCAAGTTCGGCACTCGTGGTGGCCGCAGGACGGGCACGAGTTGCTGATGACGATCATGCTTCCGCACTTGCAGCAGGAGGGAGCGACGGGCATGTTGGCGACTTATTTGTTGATGATGGTTTGTGAGCGTTGAGAGCTGATGTAACTTATTTGAGAGTTGTGTTCTTGGTCGTTAAGAGGGATGGTGATGAGCGAAGATATGAAGAAAATCAGAAAGAGAAGGAGGAGGAAAGGCTCGCACTTATAGACATTCACCTTGCCCACCTTCAACCCTCGAACCCGCACTCATTTGCGGCGGAAGTCTACCTCAACCCAGCCAACCCTCTTCGGAGCCTTGGACCCCTGGTCTGTCCGTAATGGTTGTGGTTCGGTAAGTGGTGTAAGTGGTGGTGTGCACGGCTCAGCCGGGTGTATCTAGTAGGCCGAGGAGGAGAGGCAAGGCAAAGTAAGGCAACATCGGACAACCCAAGACAGGGTAGGACAGACATTGAGCGAGCAAGCGTCACAGAGAAGGAAAAGGTAGAGTACCATGCCGGGTTCATGGTTGGTAGGACCCTGAGATGGGTTGGCCGCCGCCCGCGCAAACACACGGCTGGGGCCCAGCAAATCGGCATGCCGATCGAGTCGAATGCGGGGTTTAGTTCAAATGTTGACAGGGCCTTATTACAACTCGAGAACTCAATAGAAGTGCGAGAAAGGGATTCATACACCGAAAGAGTGAGAAGGATGCAGTGGATAGGCCCCCGCGTCTCCCCAGCCGCCGCCCTAGCTCAGTGCTGCGCTTGTGTCTCTCAACTCTCTCATCTCCTTCTCGCGGGCGAATGACGACCCGAGGACACCGCACACACCCTAGCACTGATGAGATGGCCTGACGTAGGTGTAAGGAACGTGCGCTAGAACGCCAAGGGGGAATAAAATTTGGGCGAAGACGCGAAGGGGGAGAATGCGACTTCGGCGGAATTCCTGTGATTCTCTTACCCTTAGCCATCGAGTAACACTTTTGGACGTCAACCACACGTTTGCCCCCATTCAGCTTATGCTTTCTACCGCCAAGAATCATCTCTCCAGCCCTTACCCTTTTACCCATCGGCAGGCTCCGGGGTTCGGCGGGTGAAACGCAGCGCTTGGAGATGCACAGAGGAAATTGTCTGTCCTAGGTTGTGGGATGGCACACACATTGACGCGACCTTCATTTACTAGCGAACTCTCTCGTTGGCTTTGCGTTCTTCCATCCCCTCTTTCGCTATAATCAGGACTGCCAGTGCTGCACAAGTGAGGCATGGCACGACGCCCAGAAGAGTTCTGACTGGTAGCAAGACTTGGAACTAGTGGCGTTAAAAAAGATAGCACAACTATAGAAAGCTCCAGACAGCTGCCAGCTAGCAGGCCTAGGTAGCTCTGAAGAATCCGATTTTCAGATGGAGGGTGCGAATGTGTATTTACATAGCATGCCTGATTCTGTCATCTGCATGCATGAGGCGCGGGAGATAAAAGTAGTGAGCAAAGTACTCTGCAGTTCGTCTCACAAGCTTTCTTGTAGCGCGTCTCCGGGTACACAATCCCCCCCACGTCGCTTGCGCTGCACGAAGACCTGCAGGTATCCTGACGCGGCCCAGGGTACACTACCTGTAGTCCGGTCCCGGGGCGAGGGGGGGTAACGCACACCTAGCAGTTGGTTGGAGCGAGACATCGTGGGCTTCCCGTTCATTGGATGACGAGGATAATTATGCGAATGCTGGGGAAATAGAAATGGACACCGAGCTAATGAAAGGCCCGCGATTACAATGTGGAGAGAAGACATGGAAGATGGAGGGGGAACTTGGAAGTTGGGGGGGGGGGGGGATGCTATCCGAAAAGGAGGGGGGACACCATGATGCAGCCAACAGCCGCCGGGCTGCTCGGGTCGAATGCCGGCGATGGGAATCAAGAGGATGATGTGGGAGGTTCTGACTCCTCGACCGGATGCTTGAGCTTGTCAGTCACTCTGACGATCCAACTACCTGACCAGCCAGCTTCCATTCCGTCCAAGGTCGAGCTCCAAAGATGAACAAAAATCTCGTTGATCTTGGTATGCCAACGAGGATGATCATCTCTTGCCCAACCGCCTTCCCGCCCCTTGAGGGCCTTGACGGTATGTTATGTCAAGTGCCTCTCTGCTACCCCGCAAGATGAGCGAGATCGACTCAAGTGAGATCTGTCGAAGCGAAACGGTCAGACTTGACGCTTAGGGGAAGGGGGTCAAAGTGGAAAACCTGGGGCAAGAATGGCAGCCTCTGGGAGGCCAAGCAGTCGCATCACTTCCCGCGCCACCGAACCACGGACGGCAAGGTTTCTCGATGATCTGGGGTAGCTCTGCTTCAGCCTTCAAAAGCGGGCGCTGAGTTTTGGCGAAGGTTCCAACAAGCAAACGCCACACTGCATGACACGGGAAAAGGGGGTGTGTAGCAATACAACAACGGAGCCTAACTCGCAATCAATCCGGGGAAGAATAAGACGGGCGAAAAATACCAAAAACGGTCTTCGACAGAGCGGCAAATGAGTCCACAAAAACAAGGCTCCTTTTCAATATGAATATGAGCAAATATAAGGACAAAGAAAATGGGTCTTTTCAATGCGGCCTGCGTCGGCTCACACCGAAAAGAAACCGTGGAGATGAACCGAATGACAGACAGCCCACGACTCAAGCTCGACAAAACGCTGGTCAGGAGCCCATCCGGCGATGTCCGTCATACGGGGTCTTTTCTCAGATCTGCTCCTCCGTTGTCAAACGTCCTAAACCCCCCGTTCAAGCATGAAAATGAGGCACTCTTGCGGTGCTGGAGACCCAATCCCCTCCAAAAACTGGCGGGTGCCAAGCGAATCAAAGACACTCGGTCGTCATTGCGTTGTATTGCGCCGATATTTTCCTTCTTTCAACGGCGGTCTGTTTTCGTGCTTCACTTCCTCCCCGCTGTCGGATGAGTTGAATGTCCTGCACGCATGCCCAAGTTGGATATTCTTTTCATTTTCTCTCGTGTGTTTGAGTTCGTTCTGGGTCAAGGGACTTCTTGGCGCCAGGCGTGTGTCGTAGCACAGCCCAATGACGATGCCAAAGCGCGTCCAGACATGGTTGGGTGGGCAAGTGTCTCAACTGGATACTACGTCTTCTTTCTCATCTTCTATGCATGCCATCCTCACAGCGGATATCTTCTATTGCTACCATGTTTCTACGTCAGAAGAATCATTAAACATTACACA